GTTTTATATGAGAAGCCAATCACTTGTGGTGTACATGGATTATAAAACAGATTGATAAAATATTACTTAAGTTTTACAAATAATAAATTTTTATTAGTTTACAAAACTGTACATATACTTAACTAGATCTTGTACAGGTAGCATTCTGGTATTCATGGTTACATTATATGAACCTTTCGTGCTTTAGCTGTTGCAAATGCATCAATTAAACTATCAGAATTTAAGGTATTAAGTACGTCTTTTTCAATACTTAGTATTGACAAGTTACTAAGTCGGTCTTGAGCCATTGAGGTTCTTAAGTATATAAGAATTAATTTCAGCTTGCTGAAGAACCTTTCACAACTAGCAATAGAAACCCCAATTGTTAACAAAGTCTGCAATGCAATTATTAAATTTGGGAAAACATCTTCACCATATGAAATTATACATGTTACCAAATCAGTTGCAACCATTGGTTCAGGAAAATCGGTCTGTGTTCTTTTATTTATCAACATTCTACAGTCTTAATTTCTCTGTACAATTCTGGCCCATTAATAACACCTGGATAGCTCTTTGCTAAGTCAGAACATTTTTCTTGCAATTCTCCAGTCTTCGAAATCTCCAGAAACAATATTTTTCACATCTAGTAGAAATCCAAACCGTGAATCTAAATCTAGTAAGCGAGAAAATCTTCCTGTTATTTCTGTAATCATGCGATCAATAACATCCTTCATGATTCGATAAATTTCCTGTTCAGCAGTCAATCCAGCATCAGCTGCATTTTTACCTGGCATTCGTTTACGACATATTTTTCTTAATTCAATGGTCAATCCCCATGTTTCACATTGATTCTTGCCCACTTTAAGTGCTTCTGACAGGACTTTTCATGTTATTCTATCAATTTCTCTTTCAAAGAATCAAGATCAGCAGCTGCTTCTCTAAAATTCATTTTTGGGTCCTGAAGACGTTTCTGCACTCGATTGATAGATGATAAAAGATTTCTCCAAAAATGCAAAAGTACAAGAAAATCAAATGTAAGCATGCGTTGCAGAATATTATAAGCACCACATTTTCTTTCAACCGTGTTGCCATTCTCACTTAATTGCTCTAACAGTCCTAGAAATTCATCCAGTTTTGATGTACAACTTTTACTGTCTTTTCTCTTGCACCCCACTGTGTTTCTGATTCATGCTTGACAGAGATCTTAAGCTCCTGCTGCAGTTCGTCCCATCGAGTTGTTGAATGAGCAAAAAAAATATAAATGGCTTCAATTATACCAAAAAAAAGATAATAACTGTCGTTTCCTGACTTGCAGCATGAAGACATGCTAAGTTCAAACTATGGTTGTCACAGTTTATAAACACTGCTTTTGGATTTTGTTCAGAATTCTTTGTTGAACGCCTGACATGACAGCAGCATTATCATAACATTGTGAACAACAATCACTCAATAAAATTCCATCCACTTATAATTTTGTTCTTAATGTTTTCTCAATATTGGCAGCATCTTTTTCCTTTATCTGTATAAAGTCAATAAATGACTCTTTGACTTCTACTTTTCTTGTCTTAAAATCAATGTCAACAAACTGAATCACTTGGGCCAATTGTTCACGACGAGCTAAATCAGGTGTGGAATCAAACAGAATACCATAGTATTTGTTTCTACGAATTGCTGACAAACAATAATTTCACACATGTGAATCCATGAGATTTACAAACTCATTTTGGATTTCAGGAGAAAGATAAGATGTTGACGTTTGCTTGTTTTTAACACACTCTAAATGCTTTCTCATTACTGGATCATACTTTGCTAATAACAGCAAAAGCGACAGGAAATT